CATTATATTTATTTTAACAGAAGATATAAATACATTCCACACTATTCCTATGTGTTTACAACATCTATGCTTCAATTCTTACATACAGACCACCTTACATATGCATTAAAAGATGTATTTCACTTTTAAAATGATAAAATATTGATATGATATGAAAGTGTAACGTATAAATTGGATGGTATACATGTAGAAGCCTTCTATTAAAAGAAGACTAATTCTTGTAATTTATCTTTTAATTTCTTCTTCTAGTCCACCCATGACCTCCTCAATTCCGACTCTGCGAGCAGGTGAATTATCACGTAATCGATTACATAACAAATTTTGAAGTTTAGTAGTGTGATTTCAAGACAAGAAACGACAGATCCAGAGTCAAGACAGAGCATTAGACAAAAATGGAGCAAAAGCCAACAATGACCAATCATGTCCGTTTTGTTGGCTTGCTCTGTTTCCTCTTATCGCCCAACTTAACTAAACCATTTCTCTCCTCCTCTGCACTCCCATCAGTTTCTATAAAATGAAGAAACAGAAGAAGAACTAGCAGCAACAGCAGAATTATAGAAGAGAGAAAGAATGGGTACATACAATTCCTTGCCTTACTGTCTCCTTGATTTTAAACTTTATAACTGAAGCAGACGCATCATGGTTGCTCTGTTCTTGCGTGCAGCATCCATCAAGTTTGATCAAACGAGGAACGACACTTATAACAATTTTACAGTCTCGGATGAGTTGCTTGGCACCCTTGTGCCCATTGCTGTATACTGGATATACTCTGGAATCTATATACTGCTTGGAGACATGAACCAGTACAGGCTTCACACCAAAGCTGAAGAAGACAATAAGAACGTTGTTTCAAAGAGAACTGTTTCGAGGGGAGTCCTCGTGCAGCAAGCTTTTCAAATTGCAGTCGTCTTTCTCGTCTTAACGGTAACTATGTCCTTCAAGTCTAACGCACAACTTCTTAATTTCTAATTAATTTTCTTTATATATTGATGCAGTTCATGAGTGGTGCTGATAGAAACGCTGAGCTGCCTCAGCCTTCTGTTCCGGTAATAATTCTCCAATTCATTGTGGCAATGGTGGTGATGGACACCTGGCAATACTTTACGCATCGATTCATGCACTTTAACAAGTACTTGCACATCCACCTCAAGCACCACACCCTCGTCGTCCC